ACGCCTTCTACTCGTCTATTGATAGCTATTATGATGATGATCGTTGCCTTGAATACTATTTTTGTCGTGCCATCAGTTGATTTCAGAAAAAAACTCGTGAAGATATAGTTTCGGCTCCTCCACCATTTTCATGACGTTAGAAAAACCATTTACATACGCACAGATAAAAATGTGAGCCGTTTCACGCCAGTACAGTGTTCAAGATCCATCCATTGATCTGATGATTTGAGAAATCCCTCTCTAAACTCTAACATCATAGTTAGCAATGGTATGATGGGTGGAAAGGACCCCGCAAATTTGGTAGGGAAAGTGGCTTTCGGCTAATTTTTCTGAAAATTTGATTTGTTTCAGATATTAGCATCCTTAGTACACAGTCCAATTCACAGGTCGATTCAATGACCAGTTTTTGAATTACAGGGTGTCAATACTGTCATTTTGTCATTTGATTTTGGCTGTTTGGAATATTTTGCATCAATTTGAATTATCTGCTTCAAGTCATGATAAATCTTTAGTAGAAATAAGCACTCCACGTCTGATTTCTACCTCATGAATCCCTCTATTTGAATAGATGGACCATTCGTGATATGTATCTCATTTTGTACATGAGTTACATCAATTCTTAGCTTTCAAATTGTCATCACCCTATATATGGCAAACCGGACATTGTACCAGAGGAAATCATATGAATGCTCATGTTGATGATCAAGATTCATAGTGTGTCAAATAATTGGTCGATTCTAGCCGTTTGTTTTCAAGTTCTCAGTGATTGAGTAAAAATCTAAATTCTGATATTTTCAATATTTTTCTATTCCCATGAATATAACCTTATTGTGATGGAATGCAATACCCTGTATGTGATATTATTATCGTTCAGAATAGAGGGATTCATAAGGTAGAAATTAGACGTGGAGCATTTATTTCTACTGAAGATTTATCACTACTTAGAGCACATAATTCAAATCGATGCAAAATATTTTAAACAGTCAAAATCAGATGATTGACACCCTGTATCTCGAAAACTGGTCATAGGATCGATCTGTAAATTGGACTGTGTAATAAGGACGCTAATATCTGAAACATATAAAATTTTCAGCAAAATTAGTCGAAAGCCATTTTCCGTACCTACTAAATGTGCGGGGTCCTTTGATTATTTCCTAAGTTTATATACCGAATATGGGTTTCATAAACGAAACACATACAGGGTGTCCCAAAATAATGTTCGTATACTCAGGGAGGTGATTGTGTAGATGAAAATGAAGAAAATATCCCTATCAACAAGTAATTCCACGAAATGCCACCTGAGGGCTCTAGAATTCTGTATAGGGAGGTCCTCAATTGCAGTCTTCAATTATCTTCGTTATCATTGAACATAGAATCACGTAATTCGTAACCTGGGGATGATTCCATATCAGAGAGTTGAAGCAATGCAGAATGCGTAAGCGTAAACGTAGATCTTGATATCTGAGCATGCGCAGTATGCGAATTTCCTACCCCAGGAGATACGTCTGACGTATGTTTACGTCTTGCTACGCTGGCGCTAAACGCAAATCGTATTGAACCGAAGGCGTTACCTATCTAAGCGAATACAAACGATAACTATTCGGTTTTAACTTTAAACTCACTTTCATCACTTTGTTCTTTTGTTGTGCTTCGAAGAAATCATGGACAATTCGAATAAAAGAATTATCGTTTCCTTGGAAGATGATTCGCATCTCGCAAGGGAAGTTGTAGGCCATAACCCCTTCGAAGATACAGGCCGTTGGAACCTCATCCAAATGAATATAATGTAAATCACTGGAAAACTTCTAGCTTCCTGGAATGCCATTTTTCGCAATTCGAAATAAATTTTTACATAATATTTCAAATAAATTGTTTAAATTGACATCTCTTTGTAATTCCCGTCGATTACGTAAACTGTTCTCATTCAGTACATAAAGGAGAAGAATGAGCATATCATCTGGATCATAGTCACTACTAGCATCGCTATCATATGTAGCTTCGAATATCAAAATCTCTTCCATTTTGCAAGGAAGGGTTTGCAGCAACAACACTGGAACAATCAAAGCACGCCGAGACTAACAAATCAAAACATCTGAATGGAAAAGAAAATAGGTTTAAAATGAGTCTAGTCTCGTATCTTGTATGTACGTGAAACATGTATGTACGTACCATACGTACGTATTTCTATTCACGTTTACGTCCATACGTGATTCCAAGTTTTTGTATCGGCTCTAACTCCCTATTGATAATCGTTTCGTAGTACGTGAAACATGATTTAATATACATGGAGGTGCTATTGAAAGGTCTCTAAATTATTTGTTTCAAAATTCATCTTATTTCTCCTGCCAGAATATGTTGTCACAATTGACTTTTTTTTAAGAAAACTATTCACTTGGCCGAGTTTTCTCAGTGTATATCTAGGTAGTGAGTAAAGTCTGCTTCATCATCAATTCTTGATTGATTTATTTCAAAATTGAAATTATTTGAATAATTTGAAAAGCCCTGTTTGACATCAGATACACCGAGGAAAATTGTGCTATTACAGTTTTTGCTGAGATATTTCTTGCTACCATCACAAGAAATCATATTACCGTTATACATTTTCGAATAGAAGCAGCTCCTCGAAATCCTATGATAGCAATAACGAATTTGCTGATAGTGAATTTTCTGCCACAGGAAGGTATACTGCTGTCGCTATCTGGCAGCCACTCTTCCCAGAGTGATTTTTTTTTATAATTGTCTAGCTGAACTACTACTAGTGAGTTATATGCTTGTGGCTGCGAGGTTCATCGCATAGAACTGCACTCACTACCAATAATACAACTGTCAGTCTGCCGTCAGAATAATATTTGACGAACCTACTTGGGTTTATTTAGCGCCTACTTATCATTATTCGATATTTTCCTGATTTTTTTCCCCTCTATACAGGGTGTTTCTTGAAGACATGCTAATATTCGAGGGGGTGATTCTTCGACTCATTTTAAGAAGAAAACTTCATATGAACGTATGTCCTAAAAGTCTTAACTTTTGCGATACAGGTTGATGAAGTTTTGAAAAATATTCAGTTTTTTGATAATAACTAAGACAATATTGTATACATCTTCATGAAATTTGGTACACGTCTTTTATGCATCAAGGTGCATTTTCTGATGTACAAACATTTTCATTTTCTCTACTAGTGGCACCGTTACGGGACTATTATTTTTTATATTTTACTTGAAAGTGAGCAACGACAAAAAACTTTCAAATTTCATACAATGTCATAAAAGGCTATTTGATTATGTACAAAAAAGATTCTCCTGTTGATACTCCATAGAACGCTTAGTTTTCGAAAAAAAAAAACGGAAAAACGAGACCAGACTTCAAATTTTGATGTCTGAGTACTCCATCCAGGATATCCATTACCGGATAACTACAGTATGTAACATTTCGAAATTTGTATACCAATTCAGTCACATAGCAGACTGAATTTTGCCATCACGAAAAGCCATACAGGGTGGACAAAAAAATAATCTATGCATATTTTCAACATTGACACCCTGTATCTCAAAAGTTAGGACGTTTACGACATACGTTCATATGAAGTTTTATTCTTGAAATGGGTCGAAGAATCGACCCCTTGAATATTAGCGTATCATTAAGGAACACCCTGTATAAGCAGTTGTCAGACATCTTGCTTTATCAATCATTCACAGTTGGACTCTTGATGCAAACCCATGTACAGGACGACAATCTCGACGACACGACAGTTACCATTACTTCCCCTCTCGAATTCAATTCATTATTCAAAATCTGAATCTGAATTCAATATAAAGTGGAAACATTTTTGAACAAATAGAGAAATCTCCTGGGCCCCTTTCAGTGCTTTCGTAGATCTGAGTGCTTCAGGTATTACCAGGATGATAAAGGTGAGTTTTTTCGAGGTATTTCGACTGAGATTCAAATATTTTACAAACATTTTCATCTTTTCGATACCACGAAACTTCGAAATTGTCAAATATGTTCCAGAGCTTCTCTATAGAATGTGGTCTGAATACTTATTGTGAGCAAAAATGTCCAGGTTATAAAATTATTTGAATGATTTCACTGGTAACATTTTATTTTCCTGTACGCATCTGTAATAACTTGCCTAGTTTTCGAAATGCAATGGTTTCAGAAAGTTTCACAAAATTTCTAAAGAATTCTCTTTTCCACCAATTACTCAAAAATCTGTTGTTTTTTCTGCGGGTGCATGAATCAATTGATCTATTGAATTTCAAAGATCATTGGTCCGAGATTTTCTTGAGGAATCAATCAATTGCTATGCATACCAAATATCAGGGTGGAAATTATGGAGAGTAAAATTGGATATTAGTCAAAATTTCACCTTTCTTGATGACAACAATCCTGGAAAATACCTGAATAACTACAGTAAGAAGGTCATGCAACTATCTATATGATATCCCATCTAGTTCCCTACCTACGATTATAACATTGTTCTACTCTCATTATTAGATGTACTCACTAGCGGTAGCAAAAACAGATACCTACTTCAGAAAAATCGTCTAATAGCAATATACAGATGCTCTCGCTAGTAGCAGCAAGGTTCTATATCTTATAATCGCAGGTGGGTTATAATCAGCAAAGTCGACTTTATAATCACAGGTGATAACTCGCTCGTCCCCTATGCTATTAGAGTTTCTTGCTGGGGTAATTCGATTTCTGACTATGGTTAATAGGAATTTTCCTCAACGTACCTAATACTCCTCGAGGAATAATTCTATACTTCCTCATTCGAGGATATAACATGGCTGTTTGAAGTTGATGTTCAATACAGGATGACAGTTCAACAATTCAATTTTTCATCCCACAACGGTTAAGATAACCTCATCACAAATTTGGACACGAGAATGTCAGGAAAAAAAAAAGCAGAAATATGTTTCAATGATCAAATAATTATAATTGTACATCAACATTTTTTTCTCCATCTTATAGATGAGCGTAATTTCGTGATGGCGATCAAACCACATCTCTGTCATAAATTCCTTGATTCTGTTTCGTACTCCAACAATTCCATTGTTTTGTTCCACACGGCGTTCACGAAGTCTGGATCTTGTGCTGTTGAATATGTAGGCACAACATTGCACTCTTCAAAATGTCTTCCTGATAAATGTTCAATCCCTTGTTCTAATGACACATACAGTGATGTTTGAGCCCCTTCTTCAGCTGACTGCAATTTCAATAATGATCATAATTTTTTTGAATGATGATAAATAGACATTCACTATACAGGGCGCGGGAAGAAATTCTGAATTGAGGAAATCTTTATCACGAATCTGCGATCGGGGTCAATGAAAATAACAAGTTTCTATCGTTCAAGTTTGAACCCCTTGATTGGGTGAAAGTATTGAAAAGGAATATTCTCAGATATATTCATGAACACAAAAAAATAGATATATATAGTATGATGCAAATGTATGGAATAAATTCATTATTTCAGAAATGAGCGACATTTGAAAAAATCCCAAAAACACGTGAGTTTTAATTACTGGAGCCTCATCTCATGATATTCATATGAGAGATGTTACGTCACCGGTGTTGGAGTAAAGACGTAATGGACGATTTTTTCAAATACAAATAGGGGTCATGTGACACCTTGATTGAAAGGTCTACCGATCGTCTATTCAAAAGTCAAAATGTTGCATAAGAATTGAAATTAAAATGGATTATCATGTGATTAATTGAATCTTGCAGAGGTCTGCTACTGAGAATTGAACATCGAAGGGTCGTCTTGCTAAAAAAATACGTCGAAAGAAAAGTTCTAAACTCTAGTTTTTTTTTTTTTTTCGAAAGTCTACATTTGCATCATACGTACATATAGAGAAATACATTGAAAACTCGCATTCTCCATGTGATGAAAATATCAATTCTTTCTCGATTTATTCAACAGAAAACAACCACTTTCCTGGATATATGCCACGACGAATATTGAATTACATCTCAATTTCAGAGGATTTTGATTTTTCATGCTCTCTTTTTTGGATATTCAACAGATATAATTCAATGTTCGACGTGGCGAATAGCCAGGAAAGTAATTGTTTTCTGTTGAATATTCAGAATTATAACATATGCATATCTTTATATAAAGGAGAATGCAAATTTTCTACTTCAGAAGATTTGGTTTTCAAATTCGTATCGTGTGTGTTCAATAGATGTAATTCAATATTCGTCGTGGCATATATCCAGGAAAGTAGTTGTTTTCTGTTGAATAAACCGAGAGAGGATTGATATTTCCATGACATGGATGATGCGAATTCTCAATGTTTTTATTTATATACAGGGTGTCCCTAGACCAGAGGGACAGTTTAATATCTTCTGAACCAATAGGAATTTTCAAAATATTATAATTCTACATCATATCGCATTATGAGCTCTAACTTCAGGAATGACTATATTTTATACGAGGGTCGCAAGAAAGGTTCACAAAATCGAACATCAATTTTTTCAAATGGAATACCGTGTATATTATTTTCTGATATTGAAATGTTGTGGCATGCATTCTTTTGACTTATATAACAGTTGTTCTGCTAGAAGTGTATCATAAATTAATGTGGGTGTTTGTACTCTATCTCCATTGTCTATCTACAACTACGATCGATTTGACAGAAGATAATATAACATCTAAAATCGTATCTGACAATCAGGCCCTACAAGGGAAATTGAAAAGACAAAGAGCAGAATATATGTCTTATTCTTTTATTCACTCAAACCATTGAATTATAGAAAATAAAAAAGGACAAAAGTCCAGCTGTGTCCGAACTCTTATCAAACTAATAACATCCAGTGACTCTAGCATGCATGAGATACTGTTGTCAAGTAATATATAAGAATGTACAGGGTGTAAATTTGAAAACTTAAAAAATAAAAAAGTTAGAAAATCACCGCTTGACAAAAATGCTAAAGAGTTAAGGGGAACTAGAACCACCATATTTCATTGAAGGGATGAGTCACCCTGTCAGCGCAACACACCCCAACTTTGAAATGTCAAATGGCACTACCTCTTTTGTGATACCTCAAATGAACGGTCTCAGTCAGTAGTATTCACCTGTACAAGACTTATTTTCCACCCACTACAGGGTGAACAAGTCGAATAAAATAAAATGCAGAATGCCGATATATTCCAAGAGATGTGTTCCAAAATGTTAGAATGGCATTTGAACATCGATTATACTATTGATTACAGCAGAATAGAATGTATTTTGAATATCTGATCAAATAAAATATCCTTTTAACACAATTCATTTTATTTTATTCGACTTTATATTTCCCGTACACCCTGTAGTGGGTAGAAAAAAATTCTTGTACAGGTGAATACTACTGACTGAGACTGTTCATTTGAGGCATCACAAAAAAAGTAGTGCCATTTGACATTTCAAAGTTGGGGTGTGTCGCGCCGTCGGGGTGACTCATCCCTTGACCGAAATATGGTGGTTCTAGTTCCCCTTAACTCTTTAGAATTTTTGCCAAACGGCGTTTTTCTAACTTTTTTGTTTCGCGAGATATTCGCATTGGAAGTTCTCTAATTTACACCCTGTATATCATTGATATAAATTATCAAAAATAATGGTCCTTATAATTTGGTTACGTGGGTAACACAATTTTAGGGTCGATTTCCGGGCTTGTTTCAAAGGAGCCTAGGCATTTGTCGTTGACCTATTCTTAGGTCAAAATGAGGTAGATTATACATAAAATGTTTGTTGGGGGCGCTCGAGTTTGAAGTCGAGCACCTGAGATTCAATTTGGGATTAAAAAAAATTGCTTGTGTAATTGAATGCCATTTATTCTATATCAGTCCTGTAGCTCATTGGTATAGGTATGCTATTATAATCTAATCGGCTTGACTGTGGACTCCTGGGATAAAAACAAGTTGATTTGGGCCAACTTACCTATATACAAAATCGTCTCATTGAGTTGGTACAAGGCGTTGAATTTTTTTGGGAAAAAAATATGCTCATGAGAAGAGTAGGCTGAGATCGATTTTCATAATTTTCGGCATGGCATGTTCTGTGGCTGTAAGTCACGTTTCGAGATAACAATCATGTTGCCGTACAAATTTGGTGATAACTCTTGAGACGTCAGACTGGAAACTTCCAGTTTTTTTTTCAGGAGGATATTCCCTTCAGAAATATTTTTCGTATCCTGTTAATTTTTGATAAGTCTGGAGGTTCATTTGCAAATAGATAATTTGTGATCTGATGCATCCTGCTCATTTTTGAAAATTGATCTAGTTAGTCGGACTGTTTACTGATCATGGCTACAATGTATTCTTATTGTGAACAAACTGATATGTTGCTGGTCCTCGCGGGCTCTACAAGAACTCTCGCGTTACAAATTTTGTGATAATTATTCAGGACCTATAAGGTGAAAAATTTAACGCCTTGTACCAACTAAACGAAACGATTTTGAATATAAGTGAGTTGACTAAAATCAACTTATTTTTATCCCAAGAGTCTACAGTCAAGCCATGTTCCACCCAGATTATTCTTCTGAAAAATGCATAAGATGCCTCAGATCAGAAACTTTGAATTTGCAAATGAACTTCGAGACTCATCAAAAATTGATATCGTACAAAAATATTTCTGAAGGTAATATCTTCCCGGAAAAAAAAGGAAGTTTTCATTCTGACCTCTAAAAAGTTATCACCAAATTTGTACGGCAATATGGTTATTTGCAACACTTGCAAGTCACTGATATTGATCAAAAACATCTCAAAACGTGACTTACAGTCACAGAACATGCCATGCCAAATATTATGAAAATCGATTTCAGCGTACTCTCTTTATGAACAAAAAAACTTCAACGCCTTTCACCAACCCAATGAGACGATTTTGGATATAGGTTAGTTGGCCCAAATCAAATTAATTTTATCCAATGAGTCCACAGCCGAGCCATGTCCCAACCTTTTACAGACACCCTGTATACCCAATACCCATATCCCATATCAAATTTAATTTTGATACACCAAATAATCTAGATGTTATGGCTTCTCTGATAGATTCGTTTACACCCGGTATACTAACAATATCGAAATGTTCAATAATCTCTAAATGTGAACTTGAACACCTTTTATATCATGAACTTGATCATCCTGTTTAGAGAACAATAATTAATCAAAAATAATGTATTTCAAATTGTAATTCCATGAGCGAGCATAATATATTATCATTGTACATGATCTTTAGAAAACACGCAATAAAACTTGCAATTCTTTATGAAATTATGAGAGAATGTGAGTAATACCTGGATCTGAACACGCCTTCATTGAATTATGACATATTATCATATTTATCATTATAGAGATTGGCAACAGAATTGCAGGCATATACCCAGGCAACCAGATGACGTTTCAGTGACGTCATTTTACGTCAGTTAAATGATTTATGTGACGGCAGGAGTCAGGACGAACCCCGGTCGGACCGGAACCAATCTTGAGAATACCAAATAGCCTGGCAATGTCCTCTATAGAGCTGCGAAAGCAATTCCTCAAAATATGGAAGGACACACCAGGAATGAGACAATCGAAGCTCCACTGAAAGGAACCTTCGAAGACGCTCGCAAAAGAGGTTTTATTCCTAAACAGGCGAAACCTTAAAATGGTAGTGGGGCTCCTAACGGGGCACAACCACCTCAATAGGCACCTAAAGCTTATTGGGATCAAGGATGACCCCCTTTGCAGATGGTGCCTGGAAGATGACGAAACGTCATCACATGTCCTCACTGAGTGTCCAGCACTGACGCATCAGAGGAGGGCTGTCCTTGGCAACATTATTTTGAGGCCAGAGGACTCAAAAGCGATTCAGCTGAGAAAGCTGCTGAACTTCTCCAAGGCAGTCGGCATACCCAGCTGAATGTCGTAACATGTGGGCGCACAATGGGCCCGAATAAGGAGGCCCACGTGCAGGGGGTTCACCCGCCCACCAGTGCTTCGAAGAAGAAGAAGAAGAAGACGGCAGGAGTTGACGTCATATGACCTGACAAATGACTAGAATAGGTAACTGACCAACTACGTCATATTACTCACCTTCACTAACTTCAGTCACTCTCCAAACTGTGACGTCGGACTGTCGTCGAAATGACATCAAATGACGTTCGAATATGGTGATAAGACCCAAAAATGTGCCCCAAACGTGATGTGATCAGTACATTAGATGAGTACATCTTTGACCTCTG